AATGCTACCAAGGCTCCCTGAGAGAGAGGAAGATGGGGACTCCTCCTCTGTATGGCTCTCCTTAATCCTTTGTTCACTTTTGCAGTTCGGGGGGTGTGGGTTTTGTCCAGAGGTCTGGGATGTAATCACAGGAGACATGTGCAGCCATGGCTGCCGCCATCTCGGCTGGATTAGGAACACCCCCCCCCCCCTTTCTTTTAAATGATCTCAAGAAACACTGCCCTTGGCAAGCGGGGCTGGTGACAGAGGTGCTTCTCCCTCTGTCATCCTCAGTGAAATCAGGGGCCTCTCCTGGAGAAGCTTGTCTCTGCTCCACCCAGGAGAAGAGCTGGGGGTAAGGGCACACAGCCTGTTACTGGGTTGCTAAGGCAACACTGGGTGAACCAGCAAACCCACAGTCTTCCCTACCCAGGTTCTCACATTGTAAAATTTTCTAGCAGCTTTATTGAGAGAAAATTCACATGCCATACAGTTCAGGATTTAAATTGTAAAACTCAGTGGTTTTTAATGAGTTCACAGGGTTGTGCGACTACCACCACAGTCAATTTTAGAGCATTCTCATCTCTCTCCACCAAAAGAAGCCCTATCCCCATTAGCAGCCGCTAGCTACCCCCACCCCTCCCAGCAACCACTCCTCTCCCCACCTCTCTGAACCCGTGCCAGTTCTTGACGTTGCATACCAATAGGGTCCTACACTGCAAGCTGCTTCCAGGTGCTGAATGAGATCTCGTCCTAATTGTGCTGTTAAGAATCTGTGGGTCTCTAACCTCCCTTAAGTGCACAAAAGGCCTCCAGCTTTTTCCATTATTTACAAGGTGGACCTACAGCAAGTAATGAATAACCTGTTGAGAGTACTGGCTGATGCACTCATTTCAAAATGAAGGCAAGTTTGCATAACCTGAACACAAAAATGTGTGTGTGTGTGTGTGTGCACCCCAACTCCCCCCACAGCCTCGCTCTAATCCACACATCAGGTTCCTGAAAGGGCTCCTTGGGCCTCTTCTGAGTCTCCCATGCTAGGTTTTAAGGCAGGTTCGTTCCGTTCTGGTTCCTGTGACAAGTCACCCAAAATGTCCAAATTCTGGCCTGTTCCTGCTTCACTTTGACGACCATCGCAGAAGCAGGTCGAAACCCTGTGGTCCACAGGTCACACCAGAATGATCCAGGAACTGCCTGCACCCTGCCCGTGGGCTGTGACCGGCTTCTTTCACTTAATGTTCTCAAGACTCATGGGGTAGCCCTTCTCGGCCGCTTTCTTTATGGCTACATAATAGTCCATAGATTGATAGGCCACATGTTGCTTATCCATCCATTTGCTGACGAACACCTGGTGGTTAATTTTTGGCTGTTGTGAATGCTGCTGCTGTTAACGTTGGGGGTGGGGGTGGAGCTTGTCTGTGGCTACGCCTTCATTTCTCTTGGGTGCTGTACCCCTCGGAATGGAATTGCTTGTCCTGTGGTAATTCTTGTTCACCCTTTGGAGGATCTACCCGACTGTTTTCCAAAGCAGTATTTTCATTTTACGCCCACGATGTCGCTCCACCCTCATGAACTCTTGCCGCTGTCTGATGGCGACCGCCCCGTGGGTGCCAGCTGGTTCTCACTGTGCTTGTCACTCGCATCGGCGATGGCCGGTGCTGAACGTCCCTCCATGTGTCCGCTGACCACTGGCCGGTCTCTTTCCAGAGCCTTTGGCCATTTCTACTCACTGAGTGCTGTTGTTATTTGTGCTGGATGCAAACTTTTACCGATAGATGATTTGCAGATATTCTCATTTTCGCTTTCTTGATGGTGTCGTTTGAGGACAACCATTTTACATTTTGATGAAGTGTAATTCTTTCTTTTGTTGTCATGGCTAAGAAATCTTTTATTTGCCTAAGGTCACAAAGGTCTATTTACCCCAGAAAAGTCTTACATTGGAAGGAGTTTCAGCTCTTACACTGACCTCGGTGCCTGATCCATTTGGTGTCCATTTTATATATGGTGTGAGGTTAGGGTCCAACTTCATTCTATTACCCCATTTTCCTGAAAAGACCGGTGGACTCTCTCCATCAAATTGTCTTGGCTCTCTTGTTGAAAACCATTTGATCGTCAATTTAAGGGTTGATTTTGGATTCTCTCTCCTACTACTCTGTTCATCTAAATAGCAGTCCTTCTGCCAATACCTCACTGTCTTGATTATTGAGCTTATTTATCACATGCTCCCCCCCCCTCTTTCTACTAAGAAAGACAGTACGCATCCCAGTGTCAGGCATGGCCCATGTTAACACTGTTGAAAAAGGGAAACACTCACACTGGAATCTTGAGGTGCTCCGTGCGTGCAAACAGGGCATTCAGCATTCCCGTTGGGGTCCCGTTCCTTTGTCTGCACTTGGGCAGGCTGTCCCGATACTGGACCACAACACGGTTGCTTTCCTCGCAGTCTCTGAGACCGTCCAGTGCCGTCCCTGCTGAGCAAACAGGTCTAGAGAACTTCAGTGACTGGTTTTGGAGGTTTGAGGCCTCCTTGGATCAAACTAGGCAGATCGACTTGGAAATACATGGTTTTTGGTCTCTGTTTCAAACAAATCATTTGCAGAAGACCCTTATCAGTGTTATGTAGATAAAGTTATTGATTTGGGCATATAGGCTATCTTTCAAATCTTTAATAACTCAGGTTCATCAAAACCAAAAGGATCATGTATTGATTTCGTTTTAACAAAATAGTCATTTTCTTGATTAATTGGGGCATGAAAAAAAAACCCAGGCCTACGTTTTAATACCTTACTGCTTGTTCGCATTTGTTTTCTGGATAGAAATGTAGCCGTAGGTCGGGTCTTTAATGAAACTCGCGCAGCAAAGCTCAACCCTTGGCAGGCAGTGGCGTTAACCCTGCCTAGGGGTGAGCTTTGCCATCAAATAACAGTTTGCCTGACTCTCAGATGGGACTATTTAATCCAAACCAATGGGAAGTGCCCCAAGTTGTGACCCCTAATTAAAACGTCTCGGGGCACACTTCTAGCGCTGACAAATAGGAGGGGGTGCTGTGCTCAGGATCGTGCCGCCTGCTAGTGGCGTGCAAGAGAGCGGGGTGTAAATGTTGTCCCTGTTCCATCTGCAAGTGGCCTAATAAGTGCTCCAGAGCTCTTCACACTGGCCCAGCCAGAGCCGGACCCCCCCTCTCAGCTCCAGCGCTTCCCTGCCCATCAGATGGCTGCGCCTCTGCTGGGGTCTTTGGAAGGCTCTGGTGTCTTTTGTTTTAATTGGCAGGCGAGAGCTGACTCCTATGGCGTGATTTTCATTAGAGAGAGGCTGGAGAGAGGGGAGTATTGGGGCTGTCCTCCAAGCCCGACCATGAATATTAAACATAATACAATTACAGCTTTTGGACCAAGTATTTTTCTTTTCAGCGGGCAAAGTTGATGAAATCCGTGCTCGATGGGGATTTGCAACATTCACCATTGGCTTCTTTGTCCCTGGAATCCGGCGGCTTGGCATGACGTGGGCCCATGTGCTGGGCTACCTGTTTCCGAGCACGCGCGGCGGTTGATGGGCTCTGCCAGGGTCCGCCACAGTCGGGGGGTGTGCAGAGCTCGGGCCTTGATGGCACTGGGAGGGCTGGCGCTCTGCGGTGTTGCGACGCCTGCCTGGCAGCTAAGGACAGGGCAGGGCCTCTCTGAGGATGTGTCCCAGGACACTTCTCTTCTCTCCTGTGGGGAGAAGTTCAAATCTGCTCTGGCCCGGCTTCATGTCCCCTCGCACGCTGCACGCGTACTGCTGCTGTATCGATCGGCCTATTGGGTTGTCTTGTTTGGGGCTGCCATGCTGGTGTCTAAATACAATAGGAAAACAGATGGCAAACTTTGAACTTCTGGACCACATTTGTGTTTGCCTTTGTCTCCTTAACAGCCAAACTGTAAATTATGGAGTATAAATATTCAACAGAGGGGCTCTTCATGAAAATCACCATGGCAAAGTAGACCCTATTAACTGAACAGGCACTGGGAAAGGCTGTGGCTGCACATGCGTGTCCCCGTCCTTCTCAAGTCTGGCGGTAGTGAGCAGGGCCGCCACGGCCCGAAGGCAGAGTCCCCACTTTTCTTCTCCGCCTTGCCTTAGCACCCCAACTTCCCTCCCACTGCTGGCAAACCCACTCCCACGGAGGAAGGCCTGTGTTCTCTCTGCTGCCTCCGAGGCCCTGTCGCTCTGGGTGGGACGGCATGGCATTCCCCAGCAAGAACGCCCCCCTCTGCCAGCCCTGCCTGCTCAGGCTCATGGCCTGGCCAGGAAGCAGTGGAGGGTCTCACCTCTGTCCTTTGAGACCACATCTTGGTCAAACTGGTTTCCTAACATTGTCGAAGTGGACATCGTTGTGAGTTGCCATCAAGTGGATGGTGACCCTCTCTGTGTAGCGGCATGTAGAACTGCCCCTGAAGGGGTTCAGTGCTGCCGCCTTTTGGATCCACACCACCCGCCTGTGTGGGTGTGTTCACACTGCCAAAGTCTGAGTGTACATGGTCTTAGACATGAGGAAGCCACATGTGTGTGCGTGTGCGATACAGGTAGGGATCCTGATGCCCACCCACCCTTTGGAGAGTTCAGTAACACGTTAGTGGGCAGCAAAAAGCACCCCTTTGTCTCTCAATTTTAGATAGAAACAAGGCGACATGAGTGTTCAAAACAGAATTCTGATCGATAAAGGGAGGCCCCCATCTGCCATGTACCCCTTCGCTGGGACTGCTTCAGGTGGTGGTCTCCACGAGTCACCTGTTTAGTCCTGTGCCCAGTGGGGTCTACCAATACTCATCTCTGACTGACTGCATGGCCACACACGTTGACCTAGCGCTCAGGGCATCCGCATCAAGTCAAAGTCACGACAGACGTTTCCTCTGTGTCATTATTGTTTCTAGTGCTGTAATGGGTTACCTATTGAGCTGCTAACCCCGAGGTCGTAAGTTTGAACCCACCAGCCACTCCATGGGAGAAACACGAGGCTGTCCACTTCTGTAAAGACTGGCAGTCGCAGAAACCCACACGGTCGTCATACTGTCTTCCAGGGTCACGATGAGTTGGAATAGAGCGGTGGGTGGTGGTAGCCAGTAGCCAGGCTCCGTCTAGTCCTTTGGGTCTCAAGCTGATGCTTGTGCAGATGGTTGTACTCAGTGCTGCCCTTCCTTCTGTTTCCTTCCCTCTGCTGGGCTCTGGGTGGGGAGGGGGTGACAACAGCGAGACCTTAGCTGGCCACTCACAAGCTTCAAAGGCTCCAGTCGCTAGTGGACTGTTACTCTGGTCTTCCCTGAGACAGAGGCCCCCAGCAGGGGGCTGTCAAACCCTGTGGATTGTTTTGGTTGTCGTCTCATTCTTCCCGCACCTGTTCAGCCTGCATGTCTGTGGATCACATTGGCTGCAGGGTGGTGTGTGTATGTGTATATATGTTTGTTTTGCTGGCCTCACTCCTATCATATAGCCTTCCCCTCTCCCCAAGTTACTGTCTGTCCTCTAGTTAACAGATTTATTCTTCCTTCCCCTCCAACCCTGGTAATCATCAAAGAATGTTTCGTTTTGGTGTGAAAGCCTTTTCTTTGCTTCTGTAGTAGTTGGGTTGTATAACCCAAGGGGGCTTCAAAATGTTTGTGTGGAAAAAATATATACTTACAAGGGAAGGTGCGGGGAGAAAGGGAGAACCGATCACAACGATCTACATATAATCCCTTCTCAGGGGGTGTAGACAACAGAAAAGTGGGTGAAGGGAGACAGCACTGTAAGACATGAAACAAAATGTATAAATAATCAAGGGTTCATGTGGGAGGTAAGGTGGGGTAGGGGGGAAATGAGGAGCTCCTATCAAGGGCTCAAGTAGAAAGAGCATGTTTTGAAAATGATGGCAACATATGTACAAATGTGCTTGACACAATGGATGGATTGTGATAAGAGCCCCCGATGAAGTGATTTTAAAAAATAAAAAATTCAGATGTCTCTGAGGACGCAATGTACCTGGCACACATGGGAGCTGGACCGTGAGGACAAGCAGGAAGAGGGCTGCAGGAGAAGGACCGTGCACTGGACCACCACTGCACACGCACACCTGCCTGCAGGGACGGACAGCCAGAATGCCCTTGGCTGCAACTCACATACGTGGACGAACTCTCAGGAGAAACCGATCCCGGAAAAGGGACTTCATGCTTGGTCATCAAAAAAGGAGAAGGCCTTTGAACAAGAGGATAAACATACAACTGTAAGAATTAAAAAAAAATTCTTAAAAGATTTGCAAGAGTCCCCCCCCCAAAGCTTCCTAGGACTTTCAAAATACTCTCCATGAGCCTTAATCCATGGGTCAAATCTGCGATGCCGTTCTTGGAAACGGTTTCAAACTCATCTGTTTGGATGGCTGACAGCACCTCGTCTACATCGTCAGACCACTGACCTTCCGTGTCCCTCTGCATTCGAGGAACCGAGAAGTTGCACAGAGTGAGGTCATGTGTGGGGTAAGAGAGGCATGCTGGGTTTTTTTTTGCCAAAAACTGGTACACCGAGGTGGCTGTGTGAGCAGGTGCATTGTTGTAGTGGCAAAAACAGTCCCCCATGTGCCACAAATCAGGCCTGTTTGTCCCCCACTGTTATGCAATCTTTTCAGAACCTCTGATAGAAAGCTTGATGAACAGTCTGAACTGGTAGAACGAACTCCAAATGCACGACGAGTCAACATTTTTGTCCATTTAGGAAGTTGACGGAAGTCCAGAACGAGGTTTGTCCTCAGTCGACATTTCACCTTTTGTCAAACAAGAAAGCCACTTGTACACGTGAGTTTTCCACATAGTGCTGCTCTTGTAAGCTGTGTTCAACATCACAACAGTTTCTGCGGCATTTTTCTCCAAGCAGGAAACAAAATTTCACAGCCACATGTTGGTCTCTTAAACGAGCGAAACTGTTTTTAGAAAATATTCACTGTGACCACAGAGAACCTTCCCAGGTGACGCCACTGGGTGCAGTAACTAAGACAAGTTGTTCATTGCTCACCTAGCAGGAAAAATGGGTAGTACTACAAAAGATCCACCCAGCAGAGTTTTTATTTTGGGGGGCGGGGGATAATACCCTCTGGGTCACAAGGCATTTCTTTGTCTTGCTTTCAAGAAGTACCACCCGTTGTCCACAGTGGTGGTGCTGTTTTACAACATCCCCCCCCCCCTCACGTGCACACCGGGGCTTCTTTCTGTTGAACTTGGGGCTATTACAGGACGCCCGCCTGGTTTAAAGTGATTTGTGTCTTGCTGTGATAGCTCATCCAGTTATTTGCTGCCTGCCTGGATGCCTGCCTGTCTTCTGAGGCTTTCTGGAGGGATTAGTCCTCTGTCTTTTTACTTGGGGTGCACAGAAGTGTCTTTTTCAGGTGTTCCCAGTCATCCGGCTTGCCTTCTGCTGCTGACCTGTTTAATGGTGTATGCCTCGTGGCATCTGCCTTGTATGGGACCCCGAGTTTGTCCCTATTTTTTCTTTGCATTTTGGTGCTTGCCCCAAGAACACACCCATACAGACACAGCTGCAGCAGCCAGCGCTGGTTTTCGGCTTGGGTCCTGGACGAGCGTGCTCACATTGAGAGAGAGCTCAGCAGTGTCTGTGAGAGGCTGTAGCTAGAACCAAGTAACCTGCAGTGAGGGCGTTTGCAGTGTACCCGGGCGACAGAAGCTGCCCTTGTGGGTGCATGTGCACGTACACAGAGGTAGCCTCGCTGAGGTCCCAGAAGTGGAATAAAAACCCTAAATATTTACAGAGACTCTGACTCATCGGGGCCCTACCTCGTGATTCCCAGGCTGTCGATCTTCCCAGGGACACAGTGCTCCGTCTTATTCCCCGGGAGTAGCTGGGGGTGGACTTGAAGGACTGACTGGGCAGTTCAGTCCCACCCTTATCTGACGGCACCCGAGGGAAGTAGGTGAAGTATAGTTTTGATTTTATGTTGCCAAGTCATAGCAGGACTAGAAAGTCCCTCTTTCTCCCTGTCTCCCCACCGTGGGCTGGATTATGTGTTATCTCTGACACTTGGGGCTAGCTATCATGTGACTTTATTCTGTAATGTCTCGTCCATCATTAGTATTTTTTTCTGCAAATTGTTTTTAGGGGGTTTAATTTGAAGGGGGTTGTTACTGAATTAGTCTTCCCTGTAATCATTTTGCTCAGTCTTCATTTGCCTTGACTTGGACTGTGGGTTTTCTGTAATGTTTAGAAAGGCCTTGTTAGGATCCAAGTAGAAACGAGTCTTTTTGCCATGAATTGCTGGTCGGAGTAAGCTGTTTCTCTCATTAAGTCCTAGGAGCAGTTTGTAGCTATGGGTTTGGGATCATAAATTAATATTGATTCTGAACGATGACTGCATTCTTGCGGACTGTCCTCTAATGACACACTGGCCGGCTGCTTTCCATCTGCGTGTTCCTCTCGGGTTTCCGTCTAATGTATCGGCCGCCCCTCCCCCACCACCCGAGGACCAGTGGTGCCGGGCGCCCTGCTGCGCAAGGGGCGGCCCTGTGGCCGAAAAGGAGGGCGGTCTTCCTTCAGATTGCTGTGCACATCAGTCCAGGTGACTGGAGGGCCCGTCCACTCGGATAGGGCAAACGGTGGCAGGTTTCCTCCGGGGATTCTGTGAGCTGCTCGTTTCTTCTGGGCTTGGCCTTGGTGCCAGATCTCTGGCTGCCTTCCCTGGCGGGGCTTGGTGATGGAGAAAGGACGAGCTTCCTGTCTGGAGTGGGCCACCTGCCGTGTTCCAGAGCACTGCTGCACCCGGGTGCTTATTGTTTGCCTTTTCTTCCTTCTGTGAAGTCATTCATTCCATGTAGGCTCTCAAACGTGGAGACTGAGAATAGAACACCGAGCAGATGCTAATGACGACAGGAAATGGAGGGGCTTCAGAGAGTGGGGGCTGGCCGCTGCGCTCTGGCTTCACCAAGCCTTACTTTGTGACCCACTTGAAACTGTCAAAAGGCAGGTTTGTCCTGTGTGCACACATGAGGGGGCTTTAAAATGTTCCTGGAAAAAAAATCCATTCTATTTTCACAGGGACTTTTGGAGGCTCCAGGTGATGCCAGCAACAGGTTTAGAGTGTGCTCTGACGCTGAGAAATCCTTTGGGCCTACGCACAGGATTGTGTGTGGGTGCGCACGCACGCACGAGCACTGAGATGATGAAAGAAACTAGGACATGAAATAATGATCCAGTTCAATAGAGTATCAGTTTGTCTAGCTACATGGCCTCTTGCTTTTTGACCTGCCGTACAGAGGCTGAGTCAACTCGTACTTAGATTTTGTCAAATTCTACATCACTTCCTAAAATAAGCCGCAAAAAACAAGCCCTAGGGCCCCGCTGTGTGCAGATGATCGGATGGTTACAGAGCAAGTCCTAGGAGGTTCCCTACGAGCTTAATTCCTGGCCCCAAAGGCCAACACAATGGTGATGAACATACAGAGTGAAGGCAAAGACCCACAGCCCTCTGTGCCTGAATACAGCCTGTATCCTAGAAGATCTCACGGGCCGACACCTGACCCAGATGCAGTCCCAATGTGAAGCACACCCAGTGAGCCGCCGCAGGGCAGCTGCGTGCATGGCCTGGGTCTGGTCTCAATCCACGCTTTCAGAGTCACCTTGCTCTTTCCGCTGTGAACCACCCCCGTGCTGGTTCCCCAGTCAGGAGATGTCTTACTTACCCCCACACAGCTGTGAGGCACCTGTCAGATGTAGCTGTAACCTGGTCCCGTCTTCTCTGCTCCTGTAGGGTGAGGATCCACGACCTCCGCACGGATAAAATCGCCCTGTCGCTCTCTGCCCATCAGCTGGGCGTCGCCTCAGTCCAGATGGACGAGTGGAAGATCGTCAGTGGAGGCGAGGAGGGGCTCGTCACCGTGTGGGACTACCGCATGAACCAGAAGCTGTGGGAGGTGCATTCCCGGTAGGTCGTCCTCTGTGCCCATGGTACTGCCAGCAAGGGCAGGCGAGCCCACCATCTCTCAGGTGAGGAATCTGAGGCTGCAGTTCCTCTCTCTCATAGCCCAAGGTTAGCATAATGAATGCCCAGAGACTAAGCCTGGAACTAGTTTCTCAACTGCAGCTCTGCTTACTGACGCAGGTCTGTCTGTTTTCCTGAAGGCCAGCTGGAGAGGCAGGCCCAGGCCCGCCCGTCTCAGGCCGCCTGTTAAAGTCATCTTTGGTTAAGACAGCAGCCAACCCCCAACTCACCACAAGTTCAATCACAGCCACTTAGCTTGCTGGTAAACGACTGAAGTCACTGAGACACTAACCCGCCGCTACGGTGTCGATTTCCTAGGTGAGGTGGGACAGGTATGGATGGGGCGGCACCACCAAGTTGGCCCTCCAGCTGCAGCCACAGCCACCTCACTAGCAGGGGGGACTCTGATTGAGCGCCTCGCTGGGACGTTGGCACAAAAGGATCAATAAGAACCCGATGTTCCTGTCCGAGTCTGGGACGGCTCACTCATAGCCCCAGGTGTATGTATGTTCAAGCGCCTAGAGGGTTAAAAGCATTGTCCCCGCTCTGACCACATATAGCAGAGAGCGCGGGCAGGCAGCCTTGCTGGGCTGCCCAGAACCATCCTCCCCAACCTAGAGGAAACGTTAAGAAAAGCATTGGCTGCTTCTGGGATGGGCAGGGTGGCCCTCACTCAACAGACAGAAACCAAATCTAGCAGCGCAATGTGCTGAGTGGCCACCAGGTGGTGCCAAAGGGCAACAAAAACTCCAGTCCCGGTGGCCCTGCGTGGTTGAAAAGCAGAGCTTGTGAGAAGACCTTTACGATTAATTCCCAGAGACACATTTTGAGTGTTCCCAGACCAAAAGAAGCCCTCCCCCAATCACACAGCCATCCTGGGTGCAGTCACCGTTGCTAACTGGTGCCCGGATGCTGTGCCTTTTTAGTTTTTGTAGAAGGGAAAACACTCTTCACAGTTCTGGTTGGTGGGAAGGGGCCCGGATGCAGCCTTTTGTCAAAGCAGGGGCCGCCCCCACTTGGCTTCACCCTTCCTGTGGGAGGGCCCTCCAGCCCAGCGCCCACTTGAACTCGTTGACAAACGGCCTAGCTGTCCCCTCCTCCTGGGGGTGGCCGGTCATGTCCTCACACTTCCCCTTCTCTGGTGGGAGCCCCCACCTCCTACCTCATTGGGCCCAGGACACTTCCGTCAGGTGGGTGGCCCCGAGCTGGCCTTGTATTCCCTGCACTGTTCAGGAGGCCCGGCCGCTATCACCTCTCCCGTGCTGCAGAGCTGTTGCCAGTCCTGTCCTGTGGCTCGTGGCTGTGAACAGAGGCGGCACAGGGCGTCTACTTTTGCAGTCAGTGGAAGCGTCCACTAAACTGGGCGGGATGGGTTTTGAAGCCCTGAGCACGGGGTCATTTGTGGCCTTCTGTCTTTCGGAAGTGGGAGTCATGGTGGCAGAGTGGGTTACACAGTCACAGAGCTCTAAGCTGCCAGCCTCTCCATGGGAGAAAGACAGACTTTCTAGCCCATGGGAGTGAAGAGCTGGAATCTCAGAGACCCCTGGGGGCAGTGCTGCCTGTCCGTCCTCCAGGGCACTAGGAGTGAGAATGACTCCGTGGCAGTGGGTTTGGTTTGGCCTTTAGGACTCGGGGGAGGCTTTACCAGTCGCCTCTCTACCCCCCTGTAGAAGGGACACTGGCTCTGAGAACAGGCAGACAGTGACCAAGGCCACCCAGCAGGTGAAGTGGGAGCGGCCAGCTTTATAGGAAGGGGCTTGGAAAGTTCTACTCTTTCCATACCAGCTTCCACAAATTCTTTCAGGGGTCCTTGTTTGTCCGAAACACTCCAAGAGACTTTGCTTCAGAAAGGAGGGTCTGGGGGAAGCTCTCCCCGAGGGAGCCCGCACAGCTCAGGAAGGGGAGGAGGGCAGAGGCAGGTCGTGGCAGCAGGTCCGCTTCTGTTCCAGGCACCCGGTCCGCCACCTCGCCTTCAACAGCCACAGCCTCATCACTGCCAACGTGCCCTATGAGCGCGTGGTGCGCCATGCCGACCTGGACAGCAGCACCACGCACAGGAGGTCGGTGCCCTGCGGGGGTGGGGGGGCACGCAGGTTCCTCCTCCCCCACCGTGCTCGGGGCCACAGTCCTCACTGCCTCTCTGCGGTCTCCAGGCACCGGGGGCTGATCCACGCCTATGAGTTCGCAGTGGACCGGCTGGCCTTCCAGAGCACTCTGCCCGTCTTCCGCTCGCCCTTCGCCACCATGGGTGGCTACGACTATGACCTGACGCCTACCTTGCCCTATGACACCGTGGGAGCAGGGAGAAAGTGAGAAGCCCTTGCACAAAGACACCTGTGAGCACAGAGGTGTGCCTCCCCCCTTCTCTGCCCACAGGTGATGCACCCGCCTCGCTCCTGCCTCCCCACCAGCTTCCCCTCGCGCGCTACCTTCCCTGCCTCGCTCTCCCCTCGGCGCCTGCAGGCTGTGGGCAGTGCTTTGTCTCTGCTGCAGCAGCCCTGGCTTATAATTACATATTGACACACGTGTGTCCTTCGTGATTCTCTTACTCGTGTGCCCATATGTTGTAATAGCACTTAAGTACTGCGGGTGTGTGTGTGTGTTGCTACAGGAAGGAGGATCCTAAGCCCCTGAGGAAGCAGGGCAGCCGAGGCCCATTCAGTTAGAGAAGAGGCATAGCTCCTGCGTCCTTAAGGGGTGAGGTTGACGCCAGGACTCGTCCGAAGTCCTCGAAGACAGGCTCAGTCTACAGCAGGGACGCCCCTCCTCATGGCACCAAACAGCATACTTCGCAAGTCACAGGTTTAAGTAGGGAAACGGACTACCAACCCCTCCCGACGGGAAGGGTGGTGAGCAAAGGCAGTTGGCACCCTGGCGGGGCCGGGAGCAGGTGTGGTTTTTGTAGAAAGTCTATGTGAACTGAGCTGTTCCTCCAAGCTTGGAGCAGAGGCTCAGCCCGCACAGTCGTGATCTAGCCCCGCTGCAGCAGTAAAGCCTTCCTGAGTACCCTGTAGGAGACAGGTTCCTCTGGAGGATAAGGGACAAGAAGGGGCCATGAGAAACAAGCAGGGGGATCCCTCAGGGATCCAGGGGCTGAGCGCGGCAGGGCCGGCCGGCCATGAGTGGGAGGCTTGGCCAGACGCAGGGCTGCTCTGGAGAAGTGTCCCGGCAGTTAACTCTGTTTCCTCTCCACCAAACGAACTTCTGACAGGAAGCCAGCCTTCGGTGAGCCTCAGCCCCTGCACCACTGACAGGTCACTTAAAGACTTAGAGGACATTTGACCAGTGAGCAGTCTTGAACAACTGCTGTCCTCTGCTGACGGCTGGTCCCCTGTAAAGGGCTCCCAGCACGGGCGTTTTTCCTCGCCCCAGCCATGGGGCACTTGCCCGGCTCTGCAGAGCAGCTCACTAGACCCGCACTGGGAGCTTCATGCAGCCCGGCCTGGCTGGGGGAGCAACCCACGTTTGTCCCCCACCAGCTGCCTTGATGTTTTTACAAGCCACTGCCTACTCTGCTTCTGCTCTTAGCATCTCAAGCACTTCCTCCACCCACCACAGCACAGGCTCAGACCGGCCCTGGGGGAGCCCAGGGTCGATGTTGCCCCAGGATCGCTCCTCGCGCTTGCTTCCTGCTCCGTGATGTCCCCGTGTTTGTTCTACGATTAAACCTCTAGTCTACGTATTGTTCCCGTTCCTCCCACACTCCCTCGGGCACCGTGTGCCAGGCTGCACTCCTGCACACGATACCACCGTGCCAGCTCACACCACCCACCTGGCATGGTTCCCTGCACCTCTGCTATGGGGGGGTCCTAGGCCAGAGTCCAAGAGGCCACGGAATGACTGGGGGCTTGTGCACAGGTCCTTGTGTGGGCCCTCGCAGGGAGCTGCTGCGGTCGTCAGGCAGTTAACAGTCCTGGTAAAAAGTTTTCATCACAGGTAACCCCAGGCTTACCTGGCTTACTGCTAGGCTTTCAGCTAAGGAGAGCTGAATTTCCTGAGGTTGGAAGGGTTGTGGTCTTTTCTGAAAGGGATTGCAGACACCCCTGAGGGACCGAATGCTGGCACCCGTGCGTGCCCAAGGAGGCCTGTGCTCCGGGAGGTGGGGGGTGGGGAGGTGGTCTTCACTGGCTGGTCTGGAAGCAGCTCACCAGTCTTTCTTCTAAGGTGTCTCTGGGTGTCTGTCTCCCAGGATGTCCTGGAAATAGGAGGCCCCACCTTGTGAGTAAACCCCCGAAACGAGAACTCACATTCAGTTGCAGGAAACCTGCTGGCTCTCCCCAGCTCAAGTCCCAGCCAAGTCCCAGCCTTCCCTCGCTGCAGCGAGGCCCTGACTGCGAGCTTGGACCCGGCCGCCGCCTCCTGACTCCAGGCGGGCCGGTAGGCAGCAGCTGCGGCCAAGCCCCATGAGGGGGGGGTGCTTGCATGGCCAGGCCAGATGGTTACCTGGCTGTGGTGGCGGGGCCTGCGGCGATTTGGACGGGGCCTGCCCCTCATGCCGGATGGCAGGCCGCTCCCCGCTGGGCTGCGCTGGGTGGCAGGTGGGCACTGTGCGCTCAGCCTCTGATGTCCTGGGGGCTTCCAGCAGTGTGCAGGGGGAGGGGTGCTGAACTGCCCCCAGAGCCATGCCCACCGTGCTGTACCTTCACATGCTCCCTGACCCTACTAGGGAGACCAGTGCCACACCCCAAGCTAGGCCCTTGCTGCCAGGGCAACAGCGGGCCAGAGCTGCAGCAGCCCACCCTCCTCACATGCTAGAGCCCCAGCATTCTGGAAGTGCCTAGAGACAGAGGGGTCGCCCTGGTGAGTCTCAGCAGGGACGCTGGCTCCTCAAGGTCACCGCGTGGGCGGACAGCCTGCAAGGCAGGTGTTTGCAGAGCCCTTGCCAAGGCAACTTGTATTTTTAACTCCCATCAGCCTAGTAATGTCACACAGGGCCATCCCTGCACCCACCGAGGCGCACAGCTTCTGCCTCTTAACTGAAGGCAAAGGCAGGTGGGAACAGGTTCAGCCGCTCGGTGACAAGGATCAGGTCTACTGGTGGCCTGTCTCTGGTTAGAAAAGCACAAAAATAGCTTTCTAGGCCCTTGGGCTAGAAAATACCGGAACCGTTTTTGTTAAAGCCGGGTCGTAGTTCACTCCCTACTCTGCACACACGTGGCCCCTCCTGGAGGCCCGTGGTCTCACTGTGCTCCTGATCCATAGTTCACGTTCACAGGGCCCCCAGCTGCGCACAGCCCACTTCCAGCTCACGGTGCTTCTGTAAACCCACAAACAAACGTGTCACCGTGGGCTTTCGTGGTCACTTGCCCTGCTAATCTGGCAGGACAGGATGAGACCCCTTTCTACCGGCTTCCTGGCACAGGGACCAGAGAGGCCATGGAGGAGGGTGAGAGCCTCCAGGCCACTCTACCCTCGCCCAGGCCCTCCGAGCTTCCACTTATCAGCTTCCTTCAAATATTTGCCTCCACGTTTAATTTCTGCCCGGTTCCCTTGAGTCGCCAGCGCACTTTGATAGAAGGCAGGCTCCTGATAATGCACTTGTTTGACTTGCCCCTTGCTGGTTTGGCAAACACACCCTGCACCAGCTGCTCCTCCCTCACTCCCACAAACCCAGCCCGTGGCAGGAGCTGTGTTCAAGACCCCAGCCCCACCCTGTGGCCTCCGCTGTGGCCTGCAGCCCACCTGCGGTCTCAGAACAGGTTTGCGCCGACCACTGACCACCCGTAGCCATTCCAGCAGAGGCGTGTGTCCTTGAGGACCCCACATTCTCATTCACAAACGAGCCAAGACCCAAGCCACCAGAGCCACTAGGCTGGCCCTCGGTGCTGGGCGACTGGCCACCATGGCACGTGCCTGTAGCGGCCCCATCTCCCAGCTGGAGCCCAGGGCCTGGAGGGACCTTATTTATGAAAACACTCTAATGAACTGCCTTTGTTGAAGACAAGCCTGATGCAGATGGGAGGGAACCCCAGAAAATACAGGCCGAGGTGGTCCTGCTAGAAGCCCTGTGGCTCGGGAGGCCGGGCCGCGGGGTGCGGGTACCTCCCCGTAATGATGCCAGGCATCCAGGGCCCTACACCAGGCCCTCCAAGCCTCCCTCTCCAGGCAGAGAGGAGGGGCCTGGCGGCACAGTGGGCTAAGCATTAGGCTGCTGACAGGTCAGCAGTTCAAACTCACCAGCAGCAGGTCCTCAAGAGAGAAGTGGCTTCCTGTCCTCTGGAGTCACAACTTCAGAAACCCGCAGGGCAGCTCTGCTCTGCCCAGGAGGTCTCTGAGACACCCAGCTGCACTCGTGCTTTGGGGGTTTTTTTTGTCGTCTCTGGATGGTTAGTGCAGCGGAGAGTGGGGCGGGGTGCACACTGCCTACCTCCAGGACTCAGCACGCCACTGGGCACTCGATCCAGTGAGACAGAGCAAAATGGACCCTTGTGAGTCCTTCCTTCCAGGAGGAGAGCCTTTCTCCCTCAGAGCGGCTGGTGGGCTTGGCACACTGCTGGCAGCCCTGTACACAACCCATGCCGCCACCAGGGCTCCATCGAGGGCAGCCACGACAACAGGACCCACCACTGCCCGCCAACCACCTGGATTCGGGAGTAGCCACAGGCCCAGCCCACCTTGACCCCCACCCCCCCTCTCATCCCTAGAACGGAAGGTCAGTGGACAAAGGCCCGACCCTGAGCAGAAGCCTGGAACTCGAGTGAAGAGCCCCTCCTGGTGAGCACAGCCTCCCTCGTGCCTCCATTCACCCCGTGGGCAGGCCGGCATCGAGCCACAGCCCAGCCACGCAGACCCTGGGGGTGAGTGAGCACACGGCTCGCCAGGCACAGTGTGCTCCCCGTGCTCCCTCCTCTGCCTGAGCACACGAGCAGCCAGGCCCCCAGCCCCAAGGGCTGCTCCAGAAACCTGGCCCCGCCCAGGGGGCCTGGTGCGCCACTGTCCTTTACGGTACTGCCTGGATGAAGGGGCAGGGGGACCCCCAGCAGAAAAAATTCAAAATAAAAGCACCTCGCTGTGAATGAGTCAATTCTGACTCATAGCAACCCTTAGGACAGGAGTCGCCGGCCTCATCTTTCCCTGCTGCAGAGCCGCTGGTGGTTTTGAACTGCTGACCTGTGGAAAACAGCAGACAGGCTTAAGTCAGCCCAGCCCAGACAGACAGACAAGGAAGGAATGCACCACCCACCCGCCGCTGCTGGCTCTCTGCTCAGACCAGGGACAGACACGGACTTTCAGTAACAAACCCACGCTTTATTCAAAGTAAAAACCGTGGCGCGCCACCTGCCGCACCAGACAGGGACGTGCAGGCAGAAAGCTGACGGTGAGCCGCCGGGGTGGGCCGCAGCAGCTGGGGACAGCCGGCCGGCCGCAGTGGCTCAAGGCCCCGCAGTGAAGGGCAGCGCTGGGTGGTGGAGCCAGAGGGGTCAGTGGCAGAAGGCAATGGTCTCCATGTTCAGGAACCGGACATGCATCTTGGTCTCGATGTCGATCCCCTGCCAGATCTGGAACAGGACAGGGCTGTCACCAGAGGTCTCCCGCCTGCCACCACCCAAGCCCCGCCCAGCCCAGGGCCCGACCCTCTGGCCAGTGGGCACCAGGATGTTTCTCCAGCCCGTGCCAGGCGAGGAAAGGATGCTTCCTCCGCCTGGGGTCTGGTGCTGGCATGTGAGTTCTCAGGACGGTCACAGCCAGTCACTGATCCGCCGGTGAAGCTCGGGGAAGTCCCTGCGAACCACCTGGCCCTTCCCTGCCACGCTGTGCCCCTCCGGCTACTTGCGGGGAGGAGGGGGCGTGAGTGGCAATCTAGGCCTCTGCTCAGGCAGGACCGTCAGACACAAACCATCACTCTCAGCCTCTCCAGGGGCAGTCGTGAGGGGTGGAGAGGGGGTCTCTGGGCCCACCATGTGTCTGGGGCTCCATAGGTGCTTCCCAGTCTGCACACAAAGCCTCGCTTCAGGGTTCGGGGATAGAGACCTGTTCAGAAAGGCCAGGTGAGCAACAGGGCCACCGTGGGTGCTGGCGTGAGGAGGGGCGGGACCACGCTGAGGGCACTAGCGCAAGGCCGGCCTTCCAGGCAAGGCAGCTAGTTCTTGAGAAAAGGCAGCCCCTGACCCATCTTCTGGCTTAAGGAAGAAACCCCTTCGTTCCCCGCTTCCCCAGTGGCCCGAGAATAAATGTCCCTCTTAGATGCAGGCCATGGCCGCCAGCGTGACCGTGAGGTGCCGTCAAGGCTGCTTCCTCTTCTGGGCCAGCCTGGGGCGGGTGGCAGCAGTCTCTCCCTTCCAATACAGGCTCTGTGCCTCCTTCCCCCACTGCCTGGCAAGCCCCGGGGCAGCTGCCTCAGGCCGTCCTCTCCTGTGAGAGCAACTTCTGGCTTGACCAAGTCCTGCTGGGGACCCTAATACAGGGTGGCCAGGGCCCGAGGAGAATGGACAAGTCCTTCCATGGCCATACGGTGGGGGCCGCTGTAACAGCAGGCGTCTAGACAGTGCCCGCAGTGTGCTTCCGTTTTGTAGCCCTCAGTCAGCACTGGGAACATTACAGCCCCACAAGACCCCTACCCCCGCCCCCCAGAGAAGGCTGTTAGCAAAAGGAGACAACCTCCCAGACAGAGCACGCCCACGGGGCCTCCGACAGTCACCCACGGCTGCTCCTGGGGGAGGAACCAGAGCGCCAAGAGCAAGGCCGCTGTGCCTGGTCTGTGCCATGTCAGCTGCTCCGACCACGGTCACTGCCACCTTCCCAGGGAAGACCACTCCACCTGCTCCGACCAGGGGGCCGTGCCAGGCTCTGACGGTGACCGAGGCGGGAGAACCACTCCCTGCCCTGCCCACACGCACCTTCAGGAAGTCCTCAAAAGTGATCCCCTCGTACACCTGGTCCGGCTCCTGGGGACGAACACAGGGCAGACGTGAGCAGCCCGTCCACACCCCTCCACACAGACGTCGGCCGCCCCGCTTAGAGGGCATTCCTTCTGGGCCATTTGTGCCAGCACCCAGTGGGTGAGGCTCGGGCTCCAACACCTCTTGCCCACTGGCTCTCTGGCTGGGGCACGCCTTCCTCTCTTCGCCAGGCTCAGCCAGGGGAGATGGGGGTGACCACACTGCCCGCCTCCCACACCTGTGCTGAGCAGCTTGTCCTGCCAGCGTCAGACCTGGGCACGTGGACTGTGCAGGACCAGGAAGCAGCTCTCCATGGGCTTTGGCCCCGGCTGCAGGGTCAGGACTCTGCCGGGCCTTTCTCCCAAGTGCACCCCTCATTCCAGCCATCTGCAGCCCCGAATGGGGGCATCACGCTCCCAGAGCGAAATACCAGGCCTGCCTCTCCTTGCATGCTCTCGGCCTCAGTCTCCCCTCTGGTAGCAAGGGGACTGCCATCTAGGAAGCGAGGACCCTTGTGCCGTGCGGCTGCTCTGTGACTGGGGCCCTGGCGAGCCCTCCTGTAGCCAGCCTGCAGCCCCTGCCAGTGTCAGCCTCGGGATGCAGGGCTGGGGACCCCGGGGCAGCCCCTCAAATGGCCCAGGCAGGTGCAGCTTCCCTGCTCACGAGTTCTGAACCAGGGCTGATCCTGCTTTCCTGTCCCGTCCCAACTCCCCATCCCCTGAGAAGTCAGTGTCTGGAGACTGGTTGTCACAGCCTAGGGTATGCAGTGGCACAGAGCATGGCGCTGTCCAACACCCCACCTACCAGAAGGCCCCCCACAACCGGGCACTATCTGGCTCCCAAGGTCACAGCTGCTCTTCTACTTGACCACGTTCTCCTCCCAGCTGGCCACCAGTTGTAAGTGCTGGCATGGCCGCTTCCACCACCCTAGGGTAACCCTGACCAGTTGCCATTCATCAGCTCCCGTCTACCTCCCTTGAGGTTCCCACTGACCACTGTCCCCACCCAGCGCTGCGTGTGGGACCCCGCCCCTCTGCACCGTGGACTCAACAGCAGCACTTCCCAGAAAACTTGGTGGCGAGGGTCATCTGGTGAGGATCACACCAGGTAATAACAGCCCCTACACCCTGCCTGCCCCGCCACGCAGCCACAGCAAAGACCCACCATCTGGCCCACGCAAACACTGGCCGCCTCCATCATGGCCCCATCGGCGATGGAGCGCGCCGACTCCTTCTCAATGTGGGGGTTTCCTGAGAGCAGCTCCTCGACCACCTGTGGGGGGCACAGGCCAACCTTGCACCGGGGCGTCCACCGAGGCTGGGGCATGGGCAGGCCGGGGGTGGGCCAGGAGCATACTTTACATTTCGATATTCTTCCAGCGTGATCCGGCCATCGCTGTCCGAGTCGTACATGTGGAACAGAACTGGGGGGAGGGGAGAAAAAGGGCTTGGCCAGGGCTCCCCCGCCAGAAACTGTGCCTATCCCCGAGCTCTGGGGGGGGGGGAGCTCCTGGCTCCCACTTCCTTCCACAGAGGCTGTCGCCTGGCACTGCCCGCCCCCCTAGGCTCTATCGAACATAGATCCTAATAATGAGTTCTCAACGCCAAAGCCATATGGGCCAAGGGGCCACAGTGACCCCTTCCCCAGCCAGGAGACCTCAGGCCAGGGACCTAACGTCACCTGCTGAAAACCAGAGCAGCACCAGGGTGGGAGCTGCCACAGTCAGAGTGCCGAATCTGATGGCATTAGGACCCAGAGGTCACCTGGCCCAGCAGGGTGTTGCCTTTACACCAGGCAAGTCCGTGCTGCTTTGAAACTGTTATATATAAAGAGCAGCTGGTCATCTTGGCCTGGTGCAACCATGGGGCTTCCTACACACATGCTGAGCCCCTGCCGGGTCTCACAGCAGGTCACACACACACACACACACACCAGGTATGGTCTCACAAACTCACTCTCTCTTAGTGACACACGGGGGTTCGCTTCTTGGTGTCCCCAGAGCCAAGGAGCCCTGCCCCTCTCGGCCTGGCCTCTGGGAGCCCCAGATCCAGCTCCCCAGTTCTCTGCACAGGCATTTACAGAGCATTAAGCAGCCCCCAGGGGCCCGGCGTCCCCTCGTGTACCCCCATACACCCCAGACCTGGGCAGCCCACATGGAGAGAGGCCTGATGGTGCTGCTGCAGCCCACGGAGTTAGGGTGTTTGAGACGGAGCCTGTCTGCTGACCAAGCCAGGCCTGATGGCATAGCCCCAGGGAGGTTGCCTGGCCCTC